TAGGGCTTTGACTTCCAGCAAGCATGCATGAGCGTGTTAGATAGGAGTGAATGGGACGAATGATCTTGGGCCCTGACGATCTTTTGGAGTGTGAGCAGGGTAATATTTAGTGAAGGGATCAGGAAACCGGTTATTTTCATATAGTCGGACTTGAGCCCTGGAAATGGGAAGTACAATGCCTGCCACTTTAAAGGGGGGGTTTTGGGGATATTGGCAGTTTGGAGGGATATGTTGTGTATCTCTATACGTATATGCTTCTAAACTGTTGTATTCTGAGCACCTCTGCAAAAGCATTTGATAATGTGTGAGTGTGGTGAAAGTGTTGAATGATGATGAAAGTATTTTCTTTTTGGGGATTTCTTTTTTTTTTTTTGAGTCACCCTGCCTCGGTGGGAGACGGCCGACTTGTTGAAAAAAAAAAAAAAAAAAAAAGATACAGAGAAGTACAAGGAATACAATTTTAAAGTGCCAGCTGCCAAGCCCCTTGCATGCAGAGATTATGGGCAGGCTTAATTAACTTAAGAATTAACTAAGCAATGATATATTCAGTGGGACAAAAATTATTGTAAAACATAAACAAATTTTGTACAAATGAGTATTACAAAGACAGGTCATATGGTCATTTACTGTGTTGCTGCGTAATCAGTAGAATGGAGTATTCTGTTAGGTAATGAAGTTAAATAGTAACAAAGTTTGATTGGGTCACAGGTTGACATTTATGAGATACAGTAATGAGATACATATGCGAGATACAATTTATGAATAAAGTATTCAGTATTTATTTAGTTTGGGCGAGTAATGATTTTGGAAGAGACTTTAATTTATAAACAGACAGTGTTTCTTTTATATTCACAGGTAATGAATTCCAGATTTTAGGGCCTTCTATGTGCATTGAGTTTTTGCATAGCGTGCGATGGACACGAGGAACATCAAAGAGTGATCTGTGTTTTATGTTATGGTCATGTGTTCTGTAGAGGTTGGTAAGAAGATGTTTGAGGGGGGGGTTTTTTGTCAGAGTTGAGTGTTCTATGTATGTAGAGGTGCAGTAATAAGTTTTGGGGTGTTTTATATTGTGAGTAGGTTTAGAGTTTTGAATATTGGTGGAGTGTGCTGTCTGTAGTGGGAATTTGTTATTATTCTGACTGCAGCCTTTTGTTGGGTGATTAGTGGTCTGAGATGGTTTATTGTTGTTGAGCCCCATGCACAAATTCCATAGGTGAGATAGGGGTAAATAAGTGAGTGATATAGGGCCAGGAGGACTGACTGTGGAACATAGTACCGTATCTTCGATAGTATGCCTACAGTCTTGGAAATTTTTTTGGAAATTTGTTGTATATGTGTTTGAAATTTGAGTCTATTATGAAGGTGGATTCCTAGGAATTTTCCCTCTGTGAGTTTTGTGATAGGTGATCCATTTACCATTATGTTAAGAGACACATCTGCAGCTCTGTTACCAAACTGAATGTAGTAGGTTTTGTCAATGTTTAGAGTAAGTTTGTTAGTCCTCATCCAGGTTGATATTTTCTGTAATTCTGTATTTACAGTATTGGCTAGCATGACTGGGCTCGGGTGAGAGTAGACGTATGTAGTGTCATCTGCAAATAGTGTGGGTTTGAGTAGTTGCGATGCATTTGGTAGGTCATTTGTGTATATGAGAAAGATAAGAGGGCTTAGGACACTTCCCTGTGGGACACCAACTGTAATTGGCTGTGCGGAAGAGTTTGCCCCATTTGTGTACACATATTGGCTTCTGTTGCTGAGGTATGACTAAGTAGTTGAGGGAGTGCCCTCTTGTACCATAGAGCGACAACCTAGAAGAAATAACTTAGTGGAGCTGTGAAATTTTTCCAAAACATGTTCCCTTACCTCCACCTCAGCCTTGACAAATGAAAAGAAATGAGTGCTATTGTCAGCTTGTAAAACATTCAGTATGCAGTGTTTTGAAAATTGTTAAGATTGAATTATAAATAATATAGAAATTGAAGAAAACCTAAATAACTTGATGGATATTCCACATTTTCTATTCAAGCAAATTTTTGGATACAAATTTACATTTTGTCTTTGAAAGAGAGTGACGGTATTTATGAATAAAGGCATATGAAAGGAGTGATGATACTAAACCCCTTAACCTGTTCACTGTCTGAACGTAGATCTACACTTTCACTATTAGCGCTCCATACGTAGAGCATCGTTTTATTTTTCCTACATCCAAATTTGGCATGATTGACCTAAGATGCCTGGTCAGTATAGAATGAGTCTTAACTATCTGTGTGCACAGTATAAAAAAAAATCTGGTGTTTCCCATGCTAACAGCGTGGAAAACACCAGGAATTCACTGATGCTGTGTCATATTAACATTCCCCTTTTAAGAGGAAAGTGATGTTGATGCCGAGTTTGGTTTCTTTGAGATGGATGTGGCCACAAGTGGTTGAGGAAATATCAAAAACCTCGATAATAACCCATGTGCAACATTTGTGCAACATCCTTTTAATTTTGATACCACTGGTAGTGTCATCCTGCCAGAATATCCTATAACCTATGTCCTAAGTAAAGAGAATCGTAACTCTCAGCGACACTGTTAATGATGACCTAAAAATGTCTACTTAGATGACTACCAACAAACTCATCCCTAATATTGACCAAACCTACTAAATGATGTTTGGAAACAGCTTCAAATATCCAGCTAAACATTATCAGCATTTCTCCCATTGAAAGACACACAAAGGGCAAATTCTTTGGTCTACACCTTGTCTACAACTTGAAATTTAATACCCACATCCAACACATAGCCAAGGTCTCCAAAACAGTAGGCATCCTCTCCAAGATATAGTAAATTGGAACTCGACAGTACTTAAATTTTACTGCTCACTAATCTATCGTTCCCTCACCTATGATATTTGTGCCAGGTGATCTACTACACCAAATCAAACTTCCCCTCAAACTTCTTCTTACCAACCTCAACAGAACACATGACCATAACACAAGGCACAGATCACTCTCTGATGTTCCTAGTGTCCATCTCACACTATGTAAAAACGCAATGCACATAAAAGGCCCAAAAATCTGGAATTCGTTACTTGTGAATATAAAAGAAACACTGTTTATCAATTCAAGACTCTTCCTAAAAACCACTTACTCACCCACAACTAAATAAATACTGATTAACTCTATCTCATAAATGTATAACCTGTGGCCCTATCGAACTGTTTTTTTGTAATTACATTACCTAATAGAATACTCCATTCTCTTGAATGCACAGTAACTCATCAAATGACCGTATGACCTGTTTCTGCACTACAAATCATTGATTTTATTCGATTTGACCGGATATTATAAATTGTGCTACAAATTTGTACAACTATAAAGCTTGTTATTTGAAGTACTCATTTGTACTTCATGTTATAATTTGATTACTGTAATTTTTACCACTGAATGTATCATTGCTTATTTAATCTTAAGTTAATTTTAAGCCTGCCCACAAAGCTCTGCATACAAGGGGCTTTTGGCATGTACACTCAACCACTGTATTTCTTTTGTACAACTTTGTATCATGTCCAAATAAGAAATAAATTATTATTATTATTTTGGGGGGAGCACTAAATCCACAGGGATTATATAGCACCTATGGTGGGATTTGGAAGGCATTCAGACCAGTCTCAAGGAACCTCCCTTGAGGGCTGAAACCATTAATATCCCAACAAAAAGTCGCTGTGCGGACTGTCACCCATTCCAGTGTCAGACAACACACTCCCCCACTCTTCAAAAGCTTGATCTTACTTAATATACAAAATATGCACTCCTACTACTGTGCCTGCTGTATATATATGACATTTAATTCCATAAACCATGACTGCTCATTCCTGATTATATTTTAACCAAGAAATAGAGCAAACCTTATTTTGTGTGATTATGAATTCAAAATTTAAAGTAAGTGTAATGTAGGAGAGGCCTGGGGACATGACTAATGGACAGTGGAAATGTTTTAGTACCAGGAATGACTACATTGGTTATATTTTTTATTATATTAACACATCAGCCGTCTCCCAACAAGGCACGGTGGCCTGAAAAAGAAAAACTCTCATCATTCACTCCATCACTATCTTGCCAGAGGCACACTTACACTCCAGTTATAAAACTCCAGCATTAACACCCCTTCAGAGTACAGACACGGTACTTCCCATCGTCCAGCCTGCCGATTTTCCTGAATCTCTAAATAAATGTTACCTTGCTCACATTCCCACATCATGTAAGTCCTAAAAACCATTTGTTTCCATTCGTTCCTATTGAACACGCTCACACATGTTTGCTGGAAGTCCAAGCCCCTCACACACAAAACCTCCTTTACCCCCTTACCCAATCTTTCCTAACCAACCCCTGCCCTGCCTTCCCTCCACTACAGATTTATACACTCTTGAAGTCTTTCTGTTTTGCTCCATCCTCTCTACATGTCCAAACCACCTCAACAACCCTTCCTCAGCCCTCTGGATAATAGTTTTGGTAATCCTGCACCACCACCTAGTTTCTAAACTAAAAATTCTCTGCATTATAGTCACACCACACATTGCTCTCAGACATGACTTCTCCACTGCCTCCAGCCTTCTCCTTGTTGGAACATTCACCACCCATCTTTCACACCCATATAAGAGCATTGGTATAACTATACTCTCATATGTTCCCCATTTTGCTTCCATGGTCAAAGTTCTTTGTCTCCACAGACTCCGAAGTGCACCACTCACCATTTTCCCTTCATCAAGTCTATGATTCATCTCATTTTTCATAGACCCATCCACTGACACATCCACTCCTAAATGTTTGAATACATTCACCACCTCCATGCTCTCTTCCTCCAATCTGATATCTTTTTCGGGCCACCCTGCCTTGGTGGGAATCGGCCAGTGAGATAAAAAAAAAAAAAAAATACTTAGTATTGCTTGAAACTATCTTTCCTCCACCTTTACTGTTGTAATATGTACCATTTACCATTTGATACTCTCTTACAGCTGATGACACTGAGATTACATTTGATCCTGCGGAGATCATCACAAACATTGATCAAATAGATGAGGGTTGGTGGCAAGGTGTTGGCCCTGATGGAATGTTTGGGCTCTTTCCTGCAAATTATGTTGAATTGATTAATCAATCACCAGTATGAACTGTGTTATTTCCCAAATGTCTTAATTTACTTTACTATGCTGAGGTAAGAAACCAAGCATTATTTTGTCAAGCAAAATATATAATTGGTGCATTCTGCAGTTGATGTGTTCCTTGTAAGACATTATATACCTTAGTATTAAATCACATTGCACATTGATGGCTGCATTAATTGGATTAAATTACCAAAAAAATATGCTTTCTCGTAGACTTAACTACACATACGTACAAAGTAGTAATACTGTATTTTCACTTATGCTGAATTAATTACTTGAGCTAACATTACTCTTAGCAAAATTCATTGCTAATTTACACATACCAACAAAGAATCAAATTATTAAAACTTTTGTTAGTGTGACCTTGTGCATCTGTAAATACAGAATTTTAATTAATGTAACATGCACAGAACCTAGAAGTATACTGTACTACCAGCTTACAGCTACCTAAAATGATGTAGGTTCATATTTGTGTAGTTCACACTAACTATAATTTGTCTTGCCTCATTGTCCCTTCAACTGCACTTTTAATGATCACAAACAGTACATGATAACTGCTTCTTCACATTTCATGACTGTCTTAATTCACACTGTTCAGTTAATTTATACCTATTTTAATGTCATGATAGAGAGATTTTGGTAATTATTAGGTAACCCTTCTACATCATATTAATTTATTGTTTGTTGGGTATTTTGAAATTGCTGAACTTGATTTGTTCATAACTGGAGAATTAATTAAGGCATTTTGATACTTGCATGACTTTCTAGCTTCGTACTTTAAAAGTTGTAACAAGTTTATTGCATTGCTTTAATATTTTACATTTACATTAGACACTTTTAGACTTTCTATAAAGTGCAATAGCAAGCATCTACATATCCTGGTAATTACTCATTAAAATCTGGGGAATGGTGAGGTGAAAAATAACACTTTATCAATGGCACATTATTTTTTGATTCACTAAGATTTTGTAAAAAAATAAAAAAAAAACTTGGGAAAAGATTCACTTGCATTTCAGTCAGTTATGCTTACTGAAGACTAGGCACTAGATATATTTAGTTCCAAATTTGTGTTTAAGATGTATAGCCCAGTGATTGTGACCTGTTAAGACTAGTATATTTTGATAGCACCCTAGTATTTCCTAGCTGGAAATAAACTACTACAGTAGCACCTAACTATGTTTCACCAAAAGGGGCATATACCTCCATGTTAGAGCTTTATGCTATTTGTATATTATGTCCACAGTGTGGTTGTGGAATGCTGTGGGTTATTTCACCTGGAGAAAGCTTTGAACTAATAAAGTCCTGTCTGTTTTCCTTAATCCTGGTGTGGTTGAAGGTGAACTGCTTGTGCAGGATTTTTCCATTTATTCAATGGTACTTAATTTTGTGCAAGGGTATTTGGGTAGTTTGTATTGTTAAAATCACCATTGGAAGTCTTTGTACACAGTGGATGTAATATATAGTGTGTAGGTCTGCTACCAGACAACATTTTTATACTTCACCAGTGACCTCTTGATTGTTAATAGAATGATGTTGACAATGTAAATTACTACTTCTTTGCTGAAGGTGCAGGAAATTTTAAAACTAAATACATTTGTTTGATAATATACATAATTGAATATTTCCTGAACTTCTTGAGGCAAGGGTTTTGCCAGTGGTATTTAAAAATTATATTAGTAAGGAAGAATTAGATGCATTATAAAGGATGCGTAATAAAAGGTGTATCAAAATAATGGGACACTGAAGAAATTTATCTTAAGGAGCATGTTCAGTGATACAATAATTTACCAAAGTTACTAACAGATCTTGCTGAGTCTTTCCTCCTCTATACATTGCAGTTAGGTTAGCTTAATTACTATATTTTGTTCAGTGATTTTTTTATTTTTTACAAAATTATCATTGTAATCCCTCTCCAGTAAGAACTGAAACAAGCCTCAACTCATTCATCCCAAACCCTCATTTTATCAAGTAAAAATATGCACCATAAGCCTAATGATAACTGAAGAACCCCAGTGCATACATTGTGATGAAATGTATGCAGAATAATTGACCCAATGCTCTTGATATGTCAATTGTTGTATAAATAAGTTTTACTGTCAGATTGTTACATTAACGTGAAGCTCTTAAACCTTTGTGGATTATTCAGTGCTGGAGGCTTGGTCATCTGTCTACTAATTGCTCAGCCAGATGTAATTTGCAAGTTCTGATTTTTCTATTTTTAGTCCATAAGTACACCTTTCACTTACTTTCTTGTGTTCATAGCTGCCCTCTGCCTCACAGCACTTCATGACCCACATGGGCTTGGTGCATTTCTTTTCAGTATAATACCATTAATCCAGAGGTAATTTGATGGAATATTTGACTCTTCTTTTTGCTGCTTATTTTTGGTTGTGCTTAATGCGACTCTCTAGTATATGAGGCTATAATATACACTGTAGAGTAAAAGTATATACTGTGAATGTAACTGGGTACAAGGCTGTTGAGGCATCTCTTAACTAAGTGACTTCTTTCTTCATCAAGGGATACAAGGATAAATTATCTACTAATTTTGCTGATATTTTCCTGTTATAATCATGCATTATAATGTATCATTGAATCCAAAATTTTATTACAATGTCAGCACAAATTTTTAAGATTTATACAAGGTTACTTTTATTTTCCTGTTAAAAAAATATTTTTATAAGCCTATCACAATAGGTATGAAACACAACTCATACAGTCTAATCCATAATACAGAGAGAGAGAGAGAGAGAGAGAGAGAGAGAGAGAGAGAATGTGTGTGTTTTATCAGTTGTCAAAGGTACTAGTCAGTAGACACTTGACCTGCTTTGTGTGGGTGTGGGGAGTGGGTCTGTGTTGTGTGTGCATGCATGTGTATGTATGTGCCATTCCAGATGTTCACTGTACATGTAATCGTTATCCAGGAAAATGTCTATATATTATGCGCATGTCCTTGCTGCCCAGGAAAACTGTGTTCCATAAGTCATCAATAACATTTTAGTGTACATTCTTCAGTGTTTGCAGGAATGTATGAAAAAAATACCCTAAATAAAACTTAAGTTCCAAGCAGTAATTTGTAGCATGCTCCTTAAGAAATGTCTCTCTAGAAACAAGTTTTACACTTTTTGTATATTAACACAGTTTTATGACTTTGACAGTGTTGTGGTTTCATCTTAAGAAACAATTGTCTTCCTTTTTTGTGTACCAGTATTAATGTAAGAAAGTATTCCATTATGGAAAATTTAAAATCAATTTGTACTATGGTGAGAAAATTTTCCTATTCAGAAAGAAAATTAAATTTGTACTCTTGCAATTCTTTGTACGGGTTTCCCCATGTTTCATGCGACCTGCTTTATGTGAACTTATTATGTGATGCCTCTTTTCTATTGATAATTACATATGTGCAATTGACAATTGCCATATGCAATCTGTGTGGTTCACAAAGTATGTTTTAAGATTCTTGTGCAGAAGTCTTTGTCAGTGGCCTCATTGAGCTTGGTACAGTTGCCTTAGACCAGAAACACCTGTATATGAAGGCTCTTACCATCTCATTAGGGCAAAAAAAAAATTAAGGTAATTTTTTTAAGCCTGACTAAGTCAAAGTAAATGTGAACTCGGCTTTGTAAAGCTAGTTGTGCATAATCAAGAATGAAAGTTACAATATTGTGGCAGGAACATTTCACAACTAGTCCACAATTTAGAGACCATAACACCCTCTAAATTTTCTAAATTGTGAGGTAATTGTGTAATGCATATTTAATTATAGAACTTGAGTTATTATGTGCCCACCATGAGATGTCTTGTGGAAATAGTGTTGCAAATACTTGCATATCAACATTTGCAGTATTCAGGGGTTGTAATGTTCAGACAGTTTTGAATATCCTTAATTGTAATTCTTGTTCGATTTTGTATTTGTGAAATATAATTAGAAAAATTGAACGTTGGGACATATCAGGGAATATTGTTCACTTTTATAATTTTGAATTAAAATAGTTATGCAATTATACCACAAGCAATTATTATGAGTTCATATAAAGTTGTATGTTTAGAATTGTTATCTAGTAAGGTGTAATTGCATGACTGATAAATGAGACTTGTGCAACATTTGGGTAGCTTTATTCTGGAAACATTTCGCCAGCCAGTGGCTTCTTCAGTCCAGTGCAGAGAAAGGTGTTAGATAAGGAGTTTGAGGTAATCAGTCCCTCAGCCTGGAGTCAATGTGTTCAGTTCATCAAGATTGATGGACTGAACTGGCTAGTATAACATTTCCAGAATAAAGATATGTACCTAAATGTTGTATAAGTCTCTTATTTATCAACTTGCCAATTTTTTAAACTATTTATCCGCACTTGCATGATTACCATATTGATCACAATGTTTTCTTGATTTTTCCCAATCTTTAAGTAACTGGTCACTTGCTATCTTTTAAAGATCTTAACTCCATAATTTGAAATCTAGTTTCACTTACTTTTGGTTTACTTGGTTTTGAAACTGTAAAGTTTGTATTACACATTAGCATTTACTGTGGCATGCGAGTGTGTGTGTGCCAGCCACAGTTTGTTCAGCCTAGTGTCAGTAATGACATCTATCAGCCTTGGCCCAACTTTAATAAAATTCAATGGAACATGTTCAGTTGTACTTTTTTTTTATAGTATCCTCTTCTCTTATATCTTGTGCTATTTATACAGTAGGGCCCTGCTTTACAGCGTTTCACTTTACAGCATTCCGCTAATACGGACATTTCAAATAATGACCAAAACTTGCTATACGGCTCCCCCCACCTGACTTTCTAATATGGTCACTGCACCCCACCCGGTTTGTTTACATTCTCCGTGAGCACCGCGTCTCTCCATTATGTCTAGAAACTTTCCAAAATTTTTAAGTTATTTCACATTTTATACATACTCTGATAATTATACTTTGTACCTGTACCTGAATATACTTACACCCTGTGCTGGTGTGCAGGTAAACATTAAAATCACTAAGAGTGTCTTGTGTCTTGAGATGCCATACTAGTAATGATGATGATAATACAAGTTAAGAAAGCAAAGGGAACGAATGGATGTGTCAGTTAAAAACAGTAGGGGAGTTAGTAGATTGGGAGCTGGAGGTAATGGGTAGATGGCGGGAATATTTTGAGGAACTTAAATGTCGATGAAGAAAGGGAGGCGGTAACTTCATGCACTGGCCAGGGAGGTATAACATCTTTTAGGAGTGAAGAAGAGCAGGATGTGAGTGTGGGGGAGGTGTGCGAGGCATTGTGTAGAATGAAAGGGGTAAAGCAGCTGGAACTGACGTGATCATGGCAGAAATGTTAAAAGCAGGGGGGATATAGCGTTGGAGTGGTTGCTATTTAATAAATGTATGAAAGAGGGGAAAGTACCTATGGATTGGCAGAGAGCATGTATAGTTCCTGTATATAAAGGGACGGGGGACAAAAGAGATTGTAAAATTTATAGGGGAATAACTTTACTGAGTATACCAGGAAAAGTGTACAGTAGAGTTGTTATTGAAAGAATTAGAGATAAGACAGAGTAGGATTGCAGATGAGCATGGAGGCTTTAGAGTGGGTAGGGGATGTGTAGATCAAGTGTATACATTGAAGCATATATGTGAACAATATTTAGATAAAGAATCACACAAAGTGGGAGTTGTCACAGTTGCTCTTTGCTGATGACACTGTGCTCTTGGGTGATTCTGAAGAGAAGTTGCAGAGGTTGGTGGATGAATTTGGTAGGGTATGTAAAAGAAGAAAATTGAAAGTGAATACAGGAAAGAGTAAGGTTATGAGGATAACAAAAAGATTAGGTGATTAAAGATTGGATATCAGATTGGAGGGAGAGAGTATGGAGGAGGTGAATGTATTCAGATATTTGGGAGTGGACGTGTCAGCGGATGGGTCTATGAAAGATGAGGTGAATCATAGAATTGATGAGGGAAAAGGGTGAGTTGTGCACTTAGGAGTCTGTGGAGACAAAGAACTTTGTCCTTGGAAGCAAAGAGGGGAATGTATGAGAGTATAGTTTTACCAATGCTCCTGTATGGGTGTGAAGCACGGGTGATGAATGTTGCAGCGAGGAGAAGGCTGGAGGCAGTGGAGATGTCGTGTCTGAGGGCAATGTGTGGTGTGAATATAATACAGAGAATTCATAGTTTGGAAGTTAGGAGGAGGTGCGGGATTGCCAAAACTGTTGTCCAAAGGGCTGAGGAAGGGTTGTTGAGGTGATTTGGACATGTAGAGAGAATGGAGTGAAACAGAATGACTTCAAGAGTGTATCAGTCTGTAGCAGGAGGAAGGCGGGGTGGGGGTTGGCCTAGGAAAGGTTGGAGGGAGGGGGTAAAGGAGGTTTTGTGTGCGAGGGGCTTGGACTTCCAGCGGGCATGCGTGAGCGTGTTTGATAGGAGTGAATGGAGACTAATGGTTTTTGGGACCCAATGAGCTGTTGGAGTGTGAGCAGGGTAATATTTTATGAAGGGATTCAGGGGAATCGGTTAGCCGGACTTGAGTCCTGGAAATGGAAAGTACAATGCCTGCACTTTAAAGGAGGGGTTTGGGATATTGGCAGTTTGGAGGGACTTCTGAACTGCCGTATCTGAGCTCTCGTGCAAAGACAATGATTATATATGAGGGAGGTGATGGTGTTGAATAATGATGAAAGTATTGTCTTTTTGGGGATTTCCTTTCTTTTTGGGTCGCCTTGCCTCGTGGGAGACAACCAACATGTTAAAAAAAAGTAAAAATAATCACTCATTAAATGTTGTATATTACGTTAATATTTACATTTTCATTAATCCATCTATGAAATATTTTCAAAACTATATAATAAACATGATACGTAGCATATACATGATTAATACACCCCACAGTAGAATAAATTAACAAACATGAAATGTGGTAGCTGGACGACTAGTGTATGTTATAATATTACTGGAAATAACTAGAAAGTTATTCCTTTCGTGTGCCTTCATTCAGAGTGTCATTTCTTGTAAAAATAGTGTTACGTGAGAATGGGAGTGTTGCTCTTTATTAATAATATTCTACTGTATCGACATGGAGATAACTTGTACATAAACCAGACGCATATGCCTGGTTTGTTTACATAATTCTGGGCCTGTACTCTCTCTCTCGTTTATTCGTTTTATCTCATTTACTCACCTCTGACACTACATGAAGACTTCAAATACTTTAAGGTAAGTAATGAGTGAACTGTATATGCATTTTATCGCTCTGGGGCACTTTAAATGTCGTAGAATATGTGTGGGTGGGGTGGCCTGGTATGGTAGCCTGGCTGGCTATCATACATACCACACTTGATTTCTTACAATAAATACTACTCATCTCACCCTACATTAAGACTACAAATATTGTAAGGTAAGTAATGAGTGTACTGTATTTGTATTTTACTTTTTTATTGTTTTTTAATGCTTAGTTCTATTGCTAACTTATTATATGTTACTGTAAACTTGTTATCTAGTATGTATATGCATTTATAAGTTGAAAAAAATAGGGCGTTCCACTTTACAGCAATTTCCGCTTTATGATGGTAGCCTGGAACCTAACCTGCCATATAAGTGGGACCCTACTGTATATACACAGTAGTAGTGAATAAATATTTACTCTTCAGCAAGAATAAATAACCTACACAGGTTGAGTTAGTTTAATATCTTTTATTATGCACCCCATACCCATCCTGTGGGAGGTAGTTAAAAGATTAGTGGGAAAAACATTGGGACTGGGATGCAGGGTGATAGCTAAACAAGTTACATTGGTATTGAACTTTACATTTATCTGTCTACAATCATACTTAGTTACTTATGCAAACATAAATTCACTTGCAAAAATATTAGTGTAGTTTACATAGATTTTTAATTATTTATATTACTTAAATTAAACCATACTTTGCTAAAATAAAGTAGACCATCATATTACACGGGTTTATTTTTCATGTGTTGGCAAAATTATGGCATAGTTGCCTGTGGGGTTCTCAGGTCTTCTGGCTCTGGGTCAGGCCATTGTCTCTGTGGCGTGGGGGGGGCCTACCTTCCTCTCCCGTCCCAGTGCTCTTTATGTTCTTATTTGCTTGGGTAGCATTTATTCTGTTAGTGGGTTAGATTTGTGAAGGACCTGCCTAGTTCTTCTTCTTCTTGTTGATTTGCCGGTACTTCCGGCCCGGGTCTTCTCCAGATGGTGACCCGGCGGTGGCCCCCCGGTTTGGGGGTGTCCTTCATTTTCTTCTTTCTTCTGTCTTCTTTCTTGGGCCCTCCGGGTGGAGGGTAACATCATCCTCTCTCTTGCGGTGACACCCCGGAGGGGGAGTGTTGTCTCACATTGCATCTTCATCAGCTGGCGTCTTCTTGGTCTTCATCAGCAGGCGTCCACTTGGGCTTCATCAGCAGGCGTCTGTAGAGCCCAGGGTCTTCGGGCACTTGTTGCCCCAGCAATTGTTGGTTGTGTGGCATGGATTTAGGTAAGTTCAGGTTTCTACCTAGTAAACTAATACAGGCTCCATTGGAACCTGCCTAGTATGGGCCAACAGGCCTACTGCAGTGTTCCTCTTTTCTTATGTTCATACGTGTCTTGGAACTGTGTTTGCGAATTGTGTTTTGATCTTTTCATTTCCATATCTTGTATCTGTCAAGCAGTGGTTTACATGTGGTGGACATAGTGGAAGCTTATGGCCTTGATGAAGCATCAGTGTGTACAATTAAAAGGAGTGATGCAAATATACGGGTTCATGTAATGAATACCTCTTGAAGGGGGGGCTCCTTGGCGGGTGAAGAGGCTCTTGGTCTGAGGAATTAACGTTTTGGTCTTCTTCCTCAGACCGAACCTAATTATCCCCCAATTCCCCCTTCTGTATCCCATCCTCATCATCCCTTTCCTTTTCCTTCTCCCCTCCCCTTCCCTCCTCTGTTTTCAGCCTTGGGGATTCTCCCCTCAGGCATTTTAGTTCCTAGGTAGGGGGATGGGTACCGTGGTCCATCCCATTCCATTGGGGTCCTTGGCAGTGGTATAGTTTGCCGTGGAATCAGGATCACCTGGGGATGTCCTGATCCTTCTCCAATCTCCCGGAGGTGGCTTTGGGTGTCTTTCAGGTGATGGGTTTATCTCTGGAGGCTGCCTTTCAGATTCTCGGGGGGTGGTGGCCAAAGGAGATATGCTTTGTGGCAGGTGTCTGGCTGCCCTCTCTCTTGTCCACCAAGGTGGCTTGGCAGATGTGAGGGTTGCTATCCAGATTGCTGGTTTACTGGCATGAAGGGTAGGGTATGGCACAGGTTCTATGCTGCATCTGGGTGCATTGAGGGATTTATGGCCCTTTCATTCCTCCTAGGAACTATTCCTTCACATTCTCCCATTTTTTCATCATTTTTATTTTTTTTCTAAAAACAAAATACCTATACATTTAAAATACCTTTGAAGAGTTTCGAGAGTTTAACTACTCTCGGAGCACGGCCATGGGCCAGGCTCGTCTAGTGCTTACCTGGTCAACCAGGCTGTTGCTGCTGGAGACCCACTGCCCCACATATCCATCACAGCCTGGTTGATCTGGCACCCGGTGAAGACACTTGTTCAGTTTCCTCTTGAAGGTTTCTAGACGTGTTTCAGCCATGTTTCTGATATCTTCTGGCAA